ACACAATCTCAAATATTATCATGAAATATTTGTGGAAAAATCTTTTTTGTGTTTCAAAAGGTGTGGCTGTATTAGACAGATTCAAACAAATACAAATTATATTTTTTTGTTTATTGTTTACAAGAAAAACTAACAAAACTAAATTCTTGACAGTTTCGATATGTCAGTTCTCAAAATTGTCGGTATCAAAGTCAACAAATAATAGAGAATGTGTTCAAAACTGAACAAAAAATAAATAAACCATCACATCATCAAATTAATATTTAGTAGTCCTGCCATTGGCACGTAGTAGAGCTCTAATCCTGGCTGGCATGTTCCCCACGAGCCTTTCACACTGTTGAGGGGTAATCTTGTCCCATTCTTCTTGAATTACTGCTTTTAATTCTTCTAAATTCTTTGGTTTATGCTTTGAAACAGACCTTTTGATAATCCACCACAGATGGCACATGTCCGGGGATTGAGCTGGCCACTCTAAGACCTGGATACGGTGCTCCTGCAGCCAAGTTCTACTGGCCTTGGATGTGTGGAAAGGGGCATTATCTTGTTGAAACATCCAGTTTTTACCTCGACGGAACAGTGCACGCGCAGAAGGGAGCATGTGGGTTTCGAGAATGGTACAATACTTGGTAGAGTTCAATGTGCCATCAGAGACAGTGAGATGACCAACACCAGCAGCACTCATGCATCCCCAAACCATGATACTGCCTCCACCATGCTTGACAGTAGGTGCTGTACATGCTGGAGATAATGCTTCGCTGGCCTTCTGCGTACCCTCACATTAGTAGGAGGAAGATAAAGCTGGAAACTGGACTCATCTGACCACAAAATCTTCTTCCAATTCCTGGCTGTCCAGTTCTGGTGTGCCTGGGCCCAATGACGCCAGGCTAACCTCTGTCTCTCATTGATCAGGGGCTTCTTGATAGCCTTGTAGGACCTTAACCCATGATCTAAAAGTCGGCCACGTACAGTGCGGGTGGAACACTGGACACCAGTTTGGTTTGACCACTGCTGCTGAAGCTCCTGTGATGTCATTCGGCGGTTTTACCTGCACATGCGGATCAGGATGTGGCCATTTCTTGCTGAAGAAACCCTTGGACGCCCAGATCTTGGTTTGTCTTCCAAGCTGTTGGTTCGTCTGTATTTCTGCAGAGTGTATCCAACTGCTGAAGGACTGCATCTGCACTTCCTGGCTATCTGGCGGTAGCTGTACCCTTCCTGGCTGAGAATCTTTATCTTCAGGCGTGTTTCCTGCGTTAGGTTCCTTGTTTTTGCCATTTTTGTGTCTGAAGAACTTTCAAATGTGCTGGCTTTATGTAGACACGAAGCTTGGCAACAAAAATTGTGTCTTTTAATAAAAAGAACGACCTTCATCACTGATACCAAAATGACCCAATACTCAAAATTTCTTATGTATTTTTATGGAACCAATCAATTTTAAGTTTTTAATGGCTTTTTTAGGATTTATTTAGTATTTTGGCTGTGACTGTACTAAAAGAAATTGCACTTGAAGAGTGATTCTTAATACAGTATTTCACAAATGCATGGGGTGTCCGAAAACTTTTTTCCACCACTGTATGTCCTTTTTCCTCTCCTTTCCTTCTTGTTTCCTCCTCTACTGTTCTTTCCTCCCTGTTTCCTTTCTCCTTTTCTTCATTTTCCCAGCTTAATCTTTAATAATATATCATAATGTGTTAGTGGATTTTGTATTAACATTTTGCTGTAGTAACTAAAGTAACTAAACTCTAGTAACTAAATTAAATGTAGTGGAGTAAAAAGTACAGTATTTGCCTCTAAAATGTAGTTGTGTAGAAATGTAAAGTTGCATAAACTGGAAATACTTGAGCAAAGTACTAGTACCTCAAAATTGTACTTGAGTAAATGTACTTGGTTACATCCCACCACTCTCATTAACATCCAGCAACGAACTGTTGGAGCAGGTCAGTCAGAGAACTGAAGCGTCAGCTGATGAGTAATCAGCGGCTCATTCATCAGCTGCTCGGCTCGCAGCTCGTTAGTAAAATTTTCATATTCATGCAGTGCAGCCATGATTCACTCATACCAATACTGTTTACTGATTTTTTACTCTCTTCCTGTCCAGTGAAAACCATGTATCTTCAGTTGTATTGATTTTAAAATTAATTAAACAAATTAAAGGGACAGTTCAACTCCAAAATCAAAAGCACACATGTTTGCATGTGGAGTACTCCCTGCAAAAACCTTACAGCTGTACCCACGTGAAAAGTGGAGGTTACAGCTATTGACTGCCATTAGAGCCCTGTTCCCACATTAATGATGGTTTATATAATGTCTTATCGATGCAGATTAATTGTCCAAACCAATGAATCAGTCGACCTCTGGTGAATGCTTTTAGATTTCATACGCTAAGTACATTCTGCTCATGAGACTGAAATAAGGTGTAGATGCAGGACTTGTAGTGGAGTATTTTCACAGTGTAGTTCTAGTACTTTAACTTCAGTAAAGGATCTGAATACTTCTTCCACCACTGGATCTGGAGACGTTGTGATTGCATGGTCAATGTCTTAAACTCTCAGGCCACCAGGACAATATATGTTACTGTTATAATTTACTTTTGATACTTAAACACACAGTATATCTACTCACTAAATATTTATATACACCGAGGACTTTAACTTATAAAGGAGCCTTTTTTCATTTAGCGTGTGGGAAGTGTTCTTTGTATCCCTGCGTATTTGAGTGTGTGTGCAAGAACATGTATTTGTGTGAGTGTGTGTGTGTGTGTGTGGCAGTTGCATGTAATCATTAAGCCACATTACTCCACTCTGAAAGCTTCCGCCTCCGAATAGCTTTTTAAGACACAAGTTAACAGAGCAATCAGCCGTTGCTCGCCCACTCAGAGCGACAGCTTCCTGCTCCGTAGGTAACCATGGCAATCGCTCAGGTAGAAGAGACGGCAGAGTGACCTGCACTTTAGAGAGGAGGGGCCGGTCGCTCCACCGCCACGTCACTCATTCAGCTGTTGCTATCCAGTTATGGTCAAATTATGATGTGAATGAAGCGACCCTTTGTGCTGCTAACGCGACAGTGTGGGTTTAAACAGCATTTGTTCTCTCCTCACTTATTTTATGAGCATTTATATCTCATAAAGGAGCGATTATTTCACCTGCACAAAATGGGTTCATTATACTGTAGCTGAGAGCTGGCTGATACTGTTGGAGATGGACTTTTTTGACCCAGATAACAGTAATTTTCAAACCTGAGTTGAATTTAACTTCGGTTCATTTTCCCCCTTTTGGTACAATTCATCATAAACAAGTGAGACCCTTTAAAGGAAGTGGTCTCATATTATTGCAGAGTGATTCATTTGAGGTGGGAACCAAATCGGACCTCCATCTGACCCAACTACAAGGCGCACTCTGATAGTCTGAGCTAAAAGACTCCCATAGGCAGGTGTGCTTTGCATGGCGGGGCCGCAGGTGGCAAAATCAGCAGCTAGTTGGAAAATAAAAGTGAACATTCTCACCTTAACTTTAAACCTTAGTGATGCATTATGTGGTATTTCTTGTTAAGTATCACGACTTTTTGTAGTGTTAGAGGCACCTCATCAAAAAAAGGTGACACTCTAGGCACTGCTGGCCTTTTTGTAAATGTATTTTTTTGCAAATATATGTTTTGTAAATGTATTCCTGTGGTGTAATTTTGTACTGGTTTGCACTTGGTTTCGGTATAGCTACGTGTGTCATCACATGATCTTTTGGGTGACCACCATTGGTTGTGTATGTAGAGGTGTGTCTCCCTATCGTGTTCATGTCTGATGAAGGGCTGGTGCCTGAAACATCACATGTAGTGATACGATTAGAATTTCTATATGTTGTTTCCTTTTCACCCCTGACTGTTTGGTTTGGTTAAAACAAACTCTGGTGCGTTTGCCTGTTAATATCAGTTCAGGCTGTGTGGAAGCCGTCAGTCAAACTCTGCTGTAGACTCATGTACTGGACAGAGACCGTCAGAAAAGGAGGTTTTGTTTCAGAAGTGGAACATGTATAATAATACGTATAAAGATATATCTGTCATATGTAATATAATAGATGATGTTGTAGTTCCATCTTTACAATTAAGAGCACTGAGCTCTATCGTCTTATCTTTGACTGAATTCTAGTGTTTCCTCTTCTTTCCTTTCCTCCCTGTTTCTTCCTCTCTCTTCTTTCTTCCTTGTTTCCTCCTCTCTTCTCTCTTCCTTTTTCCTCTACTTTTCTTTCTTTCCTGTTTCCTCCTTCCTCCATTTCCTCTTCCTCATGACCTTCTTCCTTGTGTCCTCATCTCCTCTCTCTTCCTTGTTTACTGCTCTCCTCTCCTTTCTTCCTTATTTCCTCCTCTACTTTTCTTTCTTCCCTGTCCTCCTCTCCTCTGCTTGCTTATTTTTGTCCTCTCCTCTCTTTCTTCCTTGTTTCCTCCTCTTTTCTCCTTTCTTTCTTGTGTACTCCCCTACTCCCTTCCTTGTTTCCTTCTCTCCTCTTCTTTCTTCCTTGTTTCCTCCTCTTCTCTCCTTTCTTTCTCATGTTCTCCTTTCCTCCTTGTTTCCTCCTCTCCTCTCCTTTCTTCCCTGTTTCCTCCTATTTGTTCCTTTCTCCATTTCCTCTTCCCCTTTACTCTATAAATTGCATCCTCCTGTCCTCTCTTCCTTGTCTCCTTCTCTCCTTTCCTTTTTTCTGGATACCTCCTCTCCTCTCTCTTCCTTGTGCCCCCTCCCTTGTTTCCTGCTCTCCTTTTCTTTCTTCCTTGTGTCCTACATCCTTGCTTCCTCCTCTCCTCCCTTTCTCGTTTCTTCTTCTCCTCTCCTTTTTGGATTGTTTCCTCTTTTCCTCTCCTCTCCTTGTTTCATCCTGTCCTTTTCCTTGTTTCCTCCTCTCCTTTCCTCTTTTGTCTTTCACTTCTCTCCTTTCTTCCTTGTTTGCTCCTCTCCTCTCCCAGCTTCTCCTCCTCATCACCCCCTCTGTTTCCCTGTGTTTATCTCCCCCCAGTGAGCAGCTACGGTGGCGATGATGATGATAATGCCAGCAGCTCCTCTGACAGTGAAGACGAGGTCCTGAAGCAGTTTGAGATCTCGGTGTCACGTTCGCAGAGTTTTCGTACCTCAGCAGCAGCAAACAGTGGCGACCAGCAGCCGACTCAGCTGTCGTTGGGCCGACGCCACAGATTCACCCGACTGTCGGACCAGGAGGAGGGCAGCACCGAGCCATCGGACTGTGAAGGTGGGTTCCCAAAATTTACCTCAACACACCATCTTCCTCCACACATTTCACTGTAGTGTTGGAGGATATGACGTCCAAATAAATTATATAAAAATTGTAAAATGTCAGAGAGCAGGCCACACCAGTATACCTATGACAACTATCGCTTTAGTTTGTATATACAACTATTGTAGGCCATGCTTATTCACAATTTGCAACTTGGTTAGACAAAATATTTATATTAATGTGTGGTTATTTTATCCAATGATTGTTTTCTAGAAAAGTTTTAATATTGTTACATATTTAAATACTTTAATTTCATACCTTACATTATTAACATTGCAGCACAATGCATGCATAATTTTCAAATACATGAGCAAGTCTAAAGTTTAGTTAGACAACTATGACCTTGTGTATTTAAAGGAGCAGTGTGTAGGATTTAGACGATTGCAGATTGCCATCAGCTGAAACTTTTCCAGTTTGTCAAGTGTAAACTCTTCCTTAACTGTTCACGTTCAGGAGGTTCTTACTGGGAGCTCAGTTATTTGCAAAGGACCCCTCCTCTCCAAACAAACAGCCCAAGTGATCAAAGCAGATAAAATCACTGAATAAAGCAGTTTCATGTTACAAATCAATGTTTCTCCAACGTTGTTTGGCTCTTCACAGATGGCCTGCTAGCCCAGCACCTGCTAATTTATGCTCTTTTGTTTCTTTTTTGTTTCTGATAACTTAAGATTCAAACATTCAGGAAGTGAATCATCCGTAGAGGTCTCTTCCTCTCCAAAATGAATGGACCTGGTGATTTAAACTGATAAAAACACTGAATAAAGCAGTTTCATCTTTTCGAAACTGCTCATCGTGGAGGGGCTGCTAACTACGGTGGCCAACACAAAAACGCAGATGACACCATCTAGAGCCAGTGTTTGGTTTGTCCGTTCTGGGCTACTGTAGAAACAACATGGTGGACTCCATGGACGAGGACCTGCTCCCTATGTAGATTTAAACAGCTCATTCTAAGACAACGAAAACATGACAGTTCTTATTTTTAGCTGATTATACACTAAAGCAAACATATTTATTATATTATATTCCATTTCTGCCAATATGTAAGAAATGTAGGTTGCTATAAAATTATTAGGGTATTGTATTTACCTGTTAAAATGTGGCCTATATAATCTATATATACTTAATTTATTTTACTTTCTTTTATTGTTCTGTATAATTTAAAGGGAGCTGACAAAAATAATTAATGTTAAAAGGGTAGGTGCAATAAGTAAAAGCTTCAGCCTACACCTTTTGGTCCTGTTTCTTTTTATTTATTGTCTTTCTACCAGTGTATTTGGGTTATATAAGTTGGAAAATGACCTAAATAAATTAAACTAAACTACAAATTATGATAATAATTTCCTTTTAATTTTAAAATTATTATTATCTTAAGTCATTTTCTCCTGTTGACACTGTACTACCATATAATTTTTATTTATTTATTTTTTGCACAAACACATAATGTTTAAAGTCCCAGTAGGTTGTTAAAGTTCTGTCACAGAGATCTAGGAAGAGCTGTTGAAGGTCACTAAGAAAATAATGTTTGCTAGAACATTTATATGCGAAGGGTCAGAAAGAGCAGATTGTTGTATGTCAAGCGAGAGACCTGAAACTCCTAAAAACAGAAACCCAGCAGGATCCAGCACTAATCCTTCCCTGTGTCAATAAGCCAAAAGGCCCCAGATAACGTTTTTACTGCAGATTAGAGGCTGTAAAGAGCTCAGGGAGGCTCAGTGTGATTGGACCGCTGTGCCTGCTTGTGAATGTGTGGACACACAGCAGTATTAATTAGGACTTTTGTTTGTTGTCATTTGGTTTCCGGTGTTTTAAGAGCGACCTGGGGGGGGAGGATGAGAGGGAACAAACAAAAGAGAAAAGCTTTTATTACTCGTCTTTCACTTTTGTTGAATTAACTTGTTTGTTGTTTGAGTCTTATTAGTAGGTTTGTTAACTAATTAATGAGATTAAGATAAGGGATTTATGAGGAACAAAAAGACGAGATACGAAAAGAGTGTTTTTCATATTAATGTAATTTTTTGGGGTCATACTTTTGTTCTACTTTTGTTTGCTCTTATTAACCCGATGAGTTGTGATGCAGTTGCATGTCATCTAACATCATGGATTTCTGTAGTTAAGTATTAAACATAGATTGCCAAAAGTTTAAGTAACGTGGTTCCTAAAATGTTCCTAAAAATTGTGATTAATGATAATCCCAACATCTGCCAAAACATAATCTGGATTATCATCTGAGCCTGAGTCATGCAGCACCGTCACGGTCTGGTGGTGATATTTTCCCACCCAACAGATCAAACCGCATCTCCTGCTTCACACGCACTGACATTTATAAATGTGAATAACTAAAAAGAGGAAGCACAAAAAAGCACAAATCTTTACAGAAGCCTCAGTCGGAGCGATTTAAAGCCACACAGGACAAATTACAACAAAACATTAGTTCCTCTAAAAAAGAAAGGCAAAAGACAGCAAAAAAGGTTATTAAATATTGGACAGAGTTGCTAAACTATTGCCAATGAGATAAAAAAATTATTTGTCCAAAAATCAGTCCTAAATTTGGTTAAAAAATATCTTGAAAATGTTTTAAAAAGCATTCATTTTAAGTGTCTAATACCTTTAGATACCCTGACAAAGCATTTTTGGATCATACCCCTGTAAAGGAATTTGTTGTATGCACGTGTGTCCAAATTATCTGTGGCAGTACTCGCATCAGCCTGCAGAGAGGACACAAACCACACAACAGCCACAATTTTCATTTTGCAATTTTTGGTCAAGTTACAAAGAATTAATGTTCATTATTATCATTTCCCACCAGTGATGTTTGTTATCTCAGTGAAAGTGAGAGGTGGCAGCACCTAAAATTAATTCCTTTGGGTGAGTGGCATGCTGTGGATGTAAATCTGTATCCTGTATTGTGGCTGCTGTGTTTCGCTCTAATGTATTGAGTTCTCAAATTGAAATTAATTGCTAATAAATATTGGTTAAACAATCAATTTTTATGCCTTGTGGCAGTGATAGCCGTGGTGGGAGGCATTTTGTTTTCAGGTTGTCCATTTTATTCTCGTAAACACAAAATCTCAAGAATGCCGTGAGAGAATTTCTTCAAATTTGTCACCAGTGTCCACAGAAACTAATTCAATTTTGATGGTCAAAGGTAAAGGTCATTGTGACCTCTCACAAACATTCACTTGGATTCAAGGATGAACTGATTAGATTTTGGTGGTCAAACTTCACACTCACTGTGACCTTGCATCTGTCTCATTCTTGTGAATGCAATACCTCAAGAAGGTCTTGAGGGAGTTTTGTGGCACAAACTTCCATTTGGACTCAAGAACGAAGTAATTAAATTTTGGTGATCAAAGGTTAAGGTCACTGTGACCTCACAAACATGTTTTTGGCCATAACACAAGAACTAATTCTAATTATGACAAAATTTCACACAAATGTCTAATAGGATAAAATGATGAAGTGATGTTATTATATATCCAAAAGGTCAAAAGGTCAAGGTCTTCACTGTGACATCATGATGTTCAGCATAAAACACTTTTCTGGCCATTACTCAACGTCATATCTCAGGAACAGAAGGGGAAACATTTGGTCAGACACTGAATTAGTGGCTCTAATTTTTGTTGCCCATCTTGAAACTGTGCTGATTGTATAGATCTTCTGTGCTGCCCGGTTGAAAATGTGTCTGAAGCATTCATGTTTTCACAGACATGGATGTAAACTGTAGATGCAACTTGATTGGTTTGCGGAGGCTTCCAGCTGCAAGGCGGTAATTCTAGTTGTTCATTAGAAATATGCTAAAATTGCTCATCATTCACTTGTATGGGTCTAAAAAGTACAGTTCTTGTTTTCCAAAACATTGTGTAGACTAAATTTGATAGATACATACTCACAACTCACATCTTTTGATCACTGGACAGAGAGATGTTCTCACACAATGCAAAGCAGATTTTAAAAACAACACGACTGCATACAGAGTCGTCGTTAATATGCAAAAAGCGAGTTTGTTCAAGGTGGAGTGAATTAAGGCAAATGCACATCAAAGTGCAGTTTTTATTGGGTTAAATATTTGATCTTATCCTGGGACATGATGAAACACTTTATAAATGTACAGCTACTTTCTCTACAGCAGGTACATTTTCTGTGTGAGGCAAATTAGCCCAGTCACCAGAAGAAAAAGTTGGCATTGTATGTATATACTACCACGGGTAGTATTATGTTACATTTGTATGTTTCATATGTATCATATCAACATTTATAAATTGACGTAATATATTAACTGAAGCCAAAACATGATCTCTTCCTCACCATACCCAAGTGGTTTCTGTGCCTAAACCAGCCACACATTAACCACAGCGTTGTTGAAACGTAAATTATGTTATTTTTCAACTTTAACTTTCAACTTTTCAACGTTGGCAGAAACATAAGATGCCAGTATCTATTCTGACAGTTGGTTTGGACATGTAGTGATCCAGAAATTCACACAGATAACTAGTTTGTTCTGTCCCAACAAACTCAAAGGCTAAATGTGCAAATAACCAAAATTAACCCAAATTGTCCTCCTTTAAATCCCGTAAAGATGACAAATGTATCACTGACACTGTGTCCTCTGGTAAACCATCTAACTGAGTCTCCAATGTCTAAAAGAAGCTACAGAAACCTTGTTTGTGAGTGTAGGGTGTTGACTGAGTAGATATTGTGTAATCTGTCAAACGTTGGCCTTTCCTGAGACAGAGACACTCAGAGAACAGGCCGTACCTCAGACCAATCAATAGCAGTTACCTCCAATTCACCATCATTAAGGTCGGTCTGACTGTTATATCAATGGCTGCATAGAGCGTTGGCCATGGCAACAGGCTGAGGTGAGTCATCAGCCTGTTTGTGTGTGTGAGTGTGTGTGTGTTATCTCATTAAAAGACGGTAAATAATTACCAGTTGAGACAGAGTGACCCCAAGCGAAGAGTGCCACCACCCACCAACAACCAGCTGCTGGTCTAAAAGAAGGCAGCTTAATTTGGTCTGAACATTTGTTTTGTGATGCTATTTAGTTAGCAAGTTAGCACGTGGTGGAGGGGTTCAAACTAGGGCTGCAACTAAAAATTATTTAGCTTCTCCTCTAATCCGATTATTATTTTTTTTATTGAGAGTCAAGTTTATTAAATGTAAAAAACAAAACTATGAAAAAAAACAGAGATACACAGTTTACTTTCATATATGACAAAAAACCTTCCCTTCACAAGTGAGAAGCTAAACCAGAGAATATTTGACATTTTTTGCATGAAGAATAACTGAATCTGTTAATCAATTGATTCCTCACTAAGTCCCGCCCCCAGATGCAGACTGGCCAATCATAGTGTAGCATCGGGCCACCCAACAACACGGCTGACTCTAATGCCATCGTTTCAGATTTCCTTCATTTTCAGGCTGGTTTTGTGGATTTGGAGCTAAATGTTGTGCCTGGGGCACGTCGTGTATTAATGATACTCGTTACCTGGAGAGGTTGGAAAAAGATATACGTTTCTTCCCTGTTCCAAAACCAAAATCAGACCCTGAAAAGTGTAGGGTTAGCTAGCTAGCTACTGAAGATACAGCCTACTGAATGTATACACATGCTGCTTTTGCTTTTAATGATTGTAACAGTGAAACAAAGAGCGACCCTGCTGTACAGGAACCAGTGAAGGGAAGCAGGGAAACTTTGCTGATATTCAACCAGCTCTGTGTCATCACATTGTACGCAGATGAACGTTGTTTGACTTCCCCCAGAGATTCCTGCCCATCTGGGTGCTGGCAGTAGCACCGCTCATCTGCACACACTGTGATGCCACACAGCTGGTTCAATATCAGCAAAGTTTCCCTTTATATTCATTGTCTTGTGTGGCGATCAGCAGTGATGTGGTGGTTCACTTTTACACTGTGATCTGTAGCCTATAGTTCGGCTTTAGCTTCTAACTGTCTTTGTCTTTTTAACCTGTTGTTGCTGCTGAGTCAGTTTGACATCCTGGATATATCCTTCAAACACAGACTGTAGACTCCTCTGTCTGCTTCTCTCTGGAATCACTCTTTCATTTTCCAAAAATATGATATTTCTTCAGGGAGTGCAGTTAGTTACAGTGTGGGCTCCATGCTTACTGCGACAGCTTGTCGGACCATCGCAAAGGGGCGGGGCTTAGTGAAGGGTCAGTTATTAAACAAGTTGCTGATAATTTTCTTTAGACCAACTAATCGACTAATTTTTGCAGTTTGATGTCAAATCTTTGAAAAACCTTTGTCACTTGCAAATGTGGGAGGCAAAATCTGATGAATCTGACAAACTCTATCAGGTTTGATCCACTAAGTGGGTCCAAAACTTGATTCAGATTTAAAACATGCTATTTAACCCCAGCCCTTCTCAAACTGACTGTGCTCACACCCACAGATTTGAATCCGACCACCAGAGGAGCCTAATGCTGACTTTCCTCCTCTGTTGCCTTCCTCATGCAGACATGGAGGCTCAGAATCCGCCGAAGGGTTTCCAGGACCCGCTCTCTGCAGCAGCACAAGAGAACGAGAGGCCGTTGGCGGTCTCTACGAACAGACCGGCTGCACTGGAGGCATCGAGCACCAGGGACAGTCCAGTCCCAAGTATGAATCGACAGGCCGCAGATGGCAGTGAGGACACGGAGAAGCCTGCAGATTACGACAAGAATGATGCCACAGACAGCTCCTCCACCTGGAGCCCAGAGGTACTGCAGCTTGTGAAGCGCACACACTCTAAGCTGTTCCTGTTTGTGCTTAAGATAATCATTATAAACTCCCTCAACCTTTAAGTGTTTTGCCGATCACACTTTCTCATACAAAATCATTCAATGAAATCACACACCTATGTGTGTACAGACGAGAGGTTGTCATGAGTCCATATTCTGAACCCAGAATATGGACGTGTCTATTCATAAAAGACCTGGGGCGTCCCTATTGATCAGTGGTGTAATACCTACCATAAACTAGAAGACTGTAAACACTGGTCCATTGGTCTATTGGTTGGTTGTTATACTCTTGTCTGTGGACATTCTCATTAGTTGGACAGTTGCTAGTGTTACTTTAAAAAGACATTGTGTCCACCAAATCGAAAAATGCAGTTGTTCAGCACCTCTGTGATGGTTAGTCTTTATGGTATTTGTCCAGCCCCTCCTCCACTGTGATTGGACGGCTGGTGACGGTGACAAGTGCAGCATTTCACCCAAAGTTAAACATTTTCCAGCTTTCATTTTTAATCTGAAAACTCACTGATAATTACAGAAGAAGTTCAGCATCGGATGTTATTGCTCTGGATTTATTTTAGTCTCCAAAAAGTCACTGATGTTCAACGCTTGATTATGAAGCTTCTGAAGGGAATAGGATCACATCAGAGCTCTTGTTGGAGGTAAACAGCTAACGTTAGGCATGCAGCGCTGCAGAGACGTTGCATTTGACATCTTCAATCCCAGAGTTACCTTCCATGGTGTCCAGTAGGGGTGTATACTGTATATAGACAGTGCAGGCAGTGCGGATGCCCTGGGGCCCGTGGGGTGGAGTGGCACGATTGCCACCTGGAAATACGCCTGTGTTTTAATTTGAATTTCATTAGCACACAAGATGTGATAAAAACAAGTATATAAAAATAAACGTGGCAGGGATTGAGCAGGAGAGGTGAGAAACCTGAAGGGGCTCATGGTGAAACCCTCCCCTCTAGAATTTCAAATCTGTTCTAAAGAAATAGCATTTCTTTCCTGCAACTAAGGGGTATCGGAAAATCGTAACGATTGCCCACCCTATGGATCAGTACCTCATACCACCCAACTTCAGAAAAATCGGAACTATCCCTTTAATCTTAGCTACAAAGCTCTGATTGTTTGACAGCTACACCAGATAAAACAACCTTTTCCCAATGATTTCCACGTCAAACCAGTGAGGAGTGTGTTCATGTTGGACCCCATTGCGTATATATCAATAAAACCAGTAAGAAGCTGGTTGAAAAGTCGAGTTATTTTCAGTGATTTTATTTCTGTTTTAATTCTACAAGTGTACACATTACCTCACACTGAGACCTCACACATTACCTCACACTGAGACCTTGCAAACTTAACAACAAATCTCGAGAAAACTTCAACATTCCACACTTTCTCAGCTCACAATACCCAGCAAATAAATATATAAATAACCAAGGCAGGGATTACCTAACGGGGTCAGTGAGCTGACCACAGCCCTGCTGTTATCCATCATGCTTGGCCGAGGTATCATCATCATCATCATTCAGCTGTGAGAGGATTATCACTCTGCCGTGTTATCCTCTCAGGTTCATTTTGGAAGAAACAAACCAAACACGGCTCACTGAGGCCTCGAGGTTTTGTATAAATAGTTGATATCTCCTTCGCTCTCCACGCTGCGTTGGCTAACAAACAGAAAGTCATGAATAATAAGCACCCTGTGTGTGTGTGTGCGTGCATGCGTGCATGTGTGTGTGTGTGTGTGTGTGTGTGTATAAACAAAGTGTGATAAATAGGTGCATACATCTACTTAACATGTATTTCTGTGTGTTTGTACATGTAGGAGAGTGAGAATGTAGAATCTAACAACCTCTCAGTCACCGAATCACACTTTGAAATTGGGAGCAGTCTGTGCAGTAAACACCTCCCACACACACACACACACACACACACACACACACACACAGGGGTGATACTGGCATCTAGAAACGTTTCATAAATAACAAATGAGTTTGGATCAGTGGAGCTACAGAAAACCCGGGAGAGCCATGTTGTAGCAGTTTATTTATACAGTTATATAACAGCCCTGCCCCTGCTAATGCTAAAGCTAGTAATACTACTGCTGCTAATAATAATACCACTACCTCAACAAGTAGTGCTATTAAAGTGTTGCTGTAATCACAATTACTGTTACTAATTACAGAGTAACATCAGAGCAAACACGTATGAAAGCACTGCTAAAATTAGCACATATTCAGCCTTTTTTTTTAAACTTGATTTCATTTATTGTTGCCTACATTTTCTCATATTTTTCATCTGTGATCCTGCAGCACGACACGTTTAGAACAAGCACAACAACATTCAACACTAAATGTACTAAATCCCACAGTTTGCATAAGATTTTAACCCTAAACTCCCCATAATTTCAAAATATACTTGGGATTTTTTAATTACTGGCAAACTTGCAAAAACATATTAAGTTTTAGCGCAAATACTGTTGAGTCCACCCTCAAACTAAACAATCCAAGTTCATCCTAGATGCAAAATATGCCAAAACACTCTGGCGGGAAACGCCACGTGCAAAAAAATATGCCCCTATTACTTTTAGCGTACAACCCCGACAAGACACACACCAGTGCTCCAGAATGCACCACCCTGTGTCACTATACGCAGGGTCAGGCCAGGCCGGGTTTGTATAACAAATGCTATGTCATGCTTTGCTCAGTTCAGGTTCAGCCAACTTTTGACATGCTGCTGTGTTGTGCTATGACCTATTCAAGTGCTGAAATTTGTTATTTACGTGACAACGCCTGAACGCAACACAGGCCAATTGTTGAATTTCAGGCAGGAGGCAGTAAATATTCAGACTGAACTAATGAAAATGGAGGAAGCTAGACAAAACTTGCTATCAGGCTCCTGTTGGGCTCGGGGTGGGTTCGGACTTAAAAATCAGAAAGTCGGGTTCGGTCAGGAAAATCTGTCCTGAGCCACACTCTACTATACGCCACCGTCCTATTTCCAGCTGTGCTGCTCCTGGAATTAAAAGCCTGTTTCCCCCACTCGCTCTCTGCTCGTACCATAGCAGCTCCTTTTCTCTGCTTCTATGGCAGCTCGACTCCTCTCTATTTACCACTGATGCAAAGAGAACTCTGTTTCTGTTGCCGTGTCTCGTGTGTGACAAAGAATGGATGAGGAGAGACTTGTTGAGGTCGAGAAATGTCCCAAGCGAAACAATACACAATCCCGTCATTATAAAGACAATGGCCAAAAAGATATTGCCTGGCGAGTAATATCTCTGGAGATCGGCTCTTCAGGTGAGAAAATCAAGTTTAATTGGGGGCTGTCCACACAACATTTTATGCCTATGCAGAGAACGTACAGGTCTGTCAGTAAACGTAATAACTTTGCGTGTTGGTCTGTTGACGAGCTGCAGTGCGACACATCCAGTGTGTGTTTAATGGCCCATTAAGTGTGTACACATACAAAGAATATGACCCTGTTTTTCACTACTAGAAGTAATATTTAGTACCTCTCTTACTCCTTGCAGAGGAAGAAGTAGTAAACATTTATCAGGTGAGCATCTGTGTTTTTCTTCTTCATGTGTCGACCTCCTGACCTGCACATTCAATAGACACGAGCAGCAGCTCTGTGATTATCTTATCTCTCTCTGCCGTTGCCATGTCGACAGCGACACTCAGCCCCGCTCTGTCAACACTCGACAACAATCGATGTTGTGTTTGCTGACTGTACGGGAAGTGGAGACTGGCTGTGTAGAGAAGAAGAAGAGGAGGAGGTTTATTTCTCCTTTGTGACAGGATTTCTGCTCAGTTTGTGTCTCTGAACATTTGAGAAGAGGTTTCTCAGAACCATTCGTGATTGTGAGTCTTAATCATCGTCTAATAGTTTATTTTTACGTTTACAAAATAATCAGAAATCAGCTCATTTCACTCTGAACGAGCTACTTTGCCAATTATTGATATACTTTTGTCTGTTTTTGTTTTTTTTTGTCCCCAACAAACTTATTTCTTTTAAACAAATTGAAACATGTATCATTAATAACACTTATTTTACCCATTACCAAGCACACTGAAGTTTTTCCATAATTTTTCAAGAATCAAGTGCAATTTTTCTTCAATCTAGTGCAGCAATCTGACATTTTTTTCATGCATTGAATCAAAATACGAGTGTATTAATCGTTGGGTAAAAGACAAAGATTAAAGAGCAAAAAAATACATACAATATGATTATCAGCAATAATTTAATAAAAGGTGAAAGGACTTTTTACTGTACATATTCACGTGTGAGGTGGACATAAGTAGTGCAACATTAAATGCAAAATATACAGTTATATAGCATAGCAAAGACGCTAATCTTGAAAGAATCAACTGAGTAATGTACAGTAAGGTGCAAATGTTTTAAAATCACCTTTTAAATCTGCAAGATGAGTGTTTGATACACAACAGACATATATTATATATTATATCATATATTATTATTACCCTGAAGTCATTTCCTGGACCCTCAGTTTCTGAGGAACAGAATGGATCTGTTCATCCAGCTGATGCAGTTATCTTCATGCTCGGGGAATCAGGGCGGCTGGAAGCAATCAATGTCCAAATGATTCTGTGTTTGCCCTTTTTCTTCTGTTGCCTTTCTATTCATATCTCAGCTGATTGTGTGTGTAGTTATAAATAGACCACAGCAGCGGGACCAGAGATAATCAGTTCAAATGGGTGGTTAAAAATAAGAGTTACCAACCCTGACCACTAAAAGCCTCTCATAGAACATAAGTACCAGTACTCAGCAACACTGTCTTTGAGCACTCTTTCTTGAATTTCTTAATTTATCTATTTCTTTATTCAGCATCTTTTCTCAACAAATATCACTAAGACTCCCTTCACACCTTGCATCTAAGTGTGTCTCACATCCAGGTTGTATCTAGATATGAATTAACCTGACTACACTTACTCCCGGTATTAGTGTGTGTCTCTAGTGTCCACATTGAGATCTGATTGAGATCCAGTCTCTCCGTCCAGCCGACATCTCCATCACCAGGGCAAAACACGAGTCAATCACCCATCACCGCATCCAGTTCATTAAAAAAGGGCACTGATCAGAATGCACAGCCACTGAAACTTTCCTTTTGCACACACAAACATTTATTTTCAGACTGAAGAACTTGTAGTTTAAACAAAAAAAGCGGGGGAGCAAACACACGGGTTTGAGTCAGCACTGCTGCCCCATGGGATGATGAAGAAAGAAATGGTGTTCAGGGTCTAAATACAGGTGAACATGTGGACTCAGTCAGGTTAATGAGTGAACAAACAAGGAACCTATCAATGCTGAGAAAAGGAGGGAGGAAAGTAAGTGAGCTAAGTGAGGAAAGAAGTGTTTTGGATGCATTTACACCTGAACTTTGATTTGGTCAAGCACAATTCCATTCCAATCTGATCACCCAAAACACATTTTATTCCAAGGTGTGAGGGGGTCTAAATCATGTTTAAGTCACATTATACAGTACATGCAGCTGAATGAGCTTTTTTCCTCTTCCTTCCTTCCTTCTCAGCAAGAGCATCCTCCCCAGGATGAGGTCTCCACTCAGCCGGCCACTTCATCCCCTCGAACCCCCATCTCTAAATGTGGAGACTTGGTCCTCTCTTTGGAGTACCGGCCCGACACAGAGAAGCTGCTGGTCTCTGTGATCGCGGCCCGGGACGTCCCCGACAAGGCCCGCAGCGGCATGGACTCCTGGCAGGTGCACATGGTCCTGCTCCCCTCCAAGAAACAACGCCACAAGACGTCAGTGCAGAAAGGCTCGCTGCCGCACTTCAACGAGACATTTCGCTTCTCACGCCTGGAGCCGTCAGACCTACACATGACGGCCATCAGGTTCAGGCTGTATGCGCTCGGACCTTCTCGGATGTCTCGTGAGCGTATGATGGGTGAGAAGGTGCTGCGTTTAGGTGGGCTGGACCCGGACGGAGGGACGATGGAGACGACACTGGTCATGGAGCCTCGCAGTAACCTCAAGGTGAAATGTACATCAGTATTTAGAGTGTTGTTATTCAGCCATCAGATTTGTGTAAATATCTGCTGAGTTGTTTTCCTGCTGCTCACTGTGTTTCTCTGTCTGTGTTTTGTCAGAGCGTGGACTCCCAGCTGAGCCTGTCTGCTGTGTCACAGAGCGACAGCGCCTCGTCCACTCAGTCTCTCACTCATGGCGGCGTCCCCGAGCTGCTGGTGGGTCTCACCTACAACGCCACCACAGGACGCATGTCGGTGGAGCTCATCAAGGGCAGCCACTTCAGAAACCTGGCCATCAATAGACCACCAGGTCTGCAGTGAGCCTCACACCCACAGACACTGTACACTCTGACACACAGGGAAATGTTAGCTTCACTGATACTGATATATACTTTGAGTTGATGGCATTTCGGCCGATACTTTTGTTTTACAGGAACAAATTGAAATGTATTCTTAGGAGCAGGACATTTTAAAGTTGAAATTAACTTGTCAGTGTTTTCAGTGTAAGGCGGACACAGTTTCTAAATGAACCTAAACCTTTCTTTGGTGTTCTTGTAATGCACAGTTTAGTGGTGCAGTGTTTGGTTTGTCTGGTCTGGGCTACTGTAGAAGCATGGCAGTCTCAGTAGACGAGGAGCTGCTCACTGTGTAGATATGAGCGGCTCATTCTAAGGTAATGAAAACACAGTCGTTCTTATTTTCAGATGATTATTCACCAAAGAAAACGTACTTATTATGTTTCATTTCTGCCAACATATCTCCCTAAATCAAACCTTTTGGTACATCAGAGTTTCACTGATCTTGTATAGTGTCTATTTTTATTCCCACTCTTATTTTACATATGTTACTTCTACATATTTATTTTTAAACTTTTCTCTCTACATACACAAATAAGAGAACCCTCTCCTAAGTTTCAGTGACTGGGAAAAACGAGTTAACATTTGATTACCAACATGACAGAAAAAGAATCAACAAACATCAATATTTTTCGTTCCTTCTTCCTCTCTCTCCTCACCCCTCCTCCCCTCTGGTCCAGACACCTATGGGCGTCTGACTCTGCTAAACTCGGTCGGGCAGGAGATCTCTCGCTGTAAGACGTCAGTGCGTCGCGGCCAGCCCAACCCCGTCTACAAGGAGACCTTCGTCTTCCAGGTGGCGCTGTTCCAGCTGTCAGACGTCACGCTGCTGGTCTCCATCTACAACCGCCGCAGCATGAAGCGCAAGGAGATGGTGGGCTGGGTCGCTCTGGGCCAGAACAGCAGCGGCGAAGAGGAGCAGCTCCACTGGCAGGACATGAAGGAGAGTCGAGGACAGCAGGTTTGCCGCTGGCACGTCCTGCTGGAGGCATAACGCCACCACGATATAGGATTTTTTTTTTCAAAGAGAAAGGGAGTTTATTTTTGCGCTGGAGTTCTTGAGGAATGATTGATTTGATGTGCGGACGGGATGATGCATGTGGTTTCAAAGGCGATGGATTCAAGGACGTAGCTTTCTCAGAGCACGCTCTTCAGTATCGTCACATCAACATCAAACCTGGCTGGTTATTTGGTGTCAACTTGAGGAACAAATTCCTCTGCTTTTGGAGGCCGACACAAGTTTAAAAGCGGATGTTTCTGTTGGTGAATAAAGAATTAAATAACTGAATAATAACTGAAAGAAGAAAGCCTTCAGCAAGGTTACATGACAAATAGAGGAATAAGTCATCGAAAGTATTTCTTTGGATGTTAAACCTTTATAAATTCTTGCAGAAATTCACTTATCCTTCTCAATAAAAAAATCTTTGGAGAAGATCTGTCGACCTCCAAGAGGAGCTGAGAATTTATCCTTCACTTCTAGCTTTTTATTTGCTAAAGCAGCTCAGTTGTGAGAGGAGAAAGCTGCAGTTTAGTTTTTCTAGTGAAATGCTGTGTTAGAAAGTACATACAAATTAGAGGTGTGTGCGTGCGTGTGTGCGTGTGTGACTTGTTATTTCTAAATCTTGCTGTTCTTTTACTGGCTGGCAAATCAATGGAGATGCCAACGAAACTGCACAGCAAGATGATCAGTTCTGAACTGATGGAGACAGGAAACAGAGAGATGCAACATTGTGAAAAATTGAAAATATTTTTGTCAGAAACACGGCAGGTTTGTCTCAAACTGAGCACAAATAAGCTGAGAGTGGTGGGTTTTATGTGACGATCGACAAGAATCAATCAAAAGTCCAGGAAGTAATCAATACATTCATTCATTACAAAGCACTCATCCGTCCACATAATCACCTTCCTAACCACCATAGTTTGCTCCATAAACTGTCCCCAGAGCTCTTATCTGGGCTTCAACTCACAAAATAGTGGTTAATCAACTCATAATTTTCAAACTAAGTCAACTAATGTACCAAAAACAACAGAGTGGAAACGCAGAAAATCAACCTAAAAAATATTGCAAAAGGTTTTTACGTTTGGCTGAGGTGAAAAAGTTGTATTGATAAAAGCAGAATGCAAAAAATTGCTATGGAAACAGATATGAGGAATTAATCATGACATACATGAAGCATGTGACTCAAAGGAATATTTCTAATTACTTAATTTGTGTTATGTTGAATCCACGAAGAGAACTTTGTTGCAAATTTTCTTGCTTGCCTCCGGTCAATGGAGAAAAAATTAAGAAAATAAAATTAAGAAAATACTTGATGATTTAAAGCGAATGAATTGGTGATGGTGATGAATTAAAACCGTGTTTAACAACTGCAACACTACATCAAAACGTCTGTTTACGAACTCTTAAACAACTTGTACAACATAATCAAAGCCTTATTTATCCAGTGGTATGCTCAATACTTCCCAAAAATGCATTTTGGCTAAAAACTGTTTAAAACACTTCTGCATCAACAGTCATATGCATCTGAAAGAGAAACTTATCTTAAACAGTAATTTTACCTCACTTATCACAGAAGCTCTGCTGCTGCCTCAATCAGAATGTTTGTGTCACAAATTAAATGGCACTAGTTTTAAAAAAAAAACAACTCTTTTTATTGTTGCCAGGCAACCACCCCATCACGTCCTTACACTAACCTTCCCTTGTAATCAATCTACCATTATTTTTTTTTTTTCATGTTAATTAGTATCTAGTTCCTAAAGTGTTAAGGCAGAGGGCAGAGGCTGTAGCGCTGGTCGAGGGTGCACAGGGAAACGGAGATCTGTGCGGGTACATGAGACCCTAATAAAGAGGGTGGATCACAGGGAGTACCACCAGTTGGTCCAGGAGCTTCTCCTCCATGATGGCCGTATGCAGGCACATATCAAAAGGCTGTATAACTTTGGGTATCCAGCAACCGCTACCACCAGTTTCTCCTCCATTGTTTACTAACTGTAAACAACGCCTCTCAAATCATCCAATTGGACAATGGGAAGAAAGATGATGAAGGAGATGACGTGGGGTGTTATTCCGCTTTGAGTTTAAGTTTTTTCAACCAGAGCAGTTCAGAGTGCTCCGGCAAAAATGCCAGCTGCTGAGAGCGCAGAAACACGAGGCGCATCACAACGCAAAAAGCTTAATTCTCATTAAAAACAATTACAAAATGGCGCCTCTAGCTGCTAAAACGCTTTCTGCATGATCAGGGCCTTAAGAGGTAAATCTACTGCTTTTGCCAGTGGACTCTGACAAGTATTGAGCATACGACTGGATAAGTGAGACTGGTTTATACTGAACAAGTTCTGTGAGAGTTTGTAAACAGATGTTTTTATTTAGTTTTGCTATTTTGAACCCGAACCCCAATGACTTTCAAGAATTTTGTTCGTTTTTGGATTCTTCGTTAACCAGAGGCAAGCGAGAAAATTCAGCTTAACACAGGGTGAGTAATTGATATACAAACGGCCATTTAGTGGTAAAATATTTCTTTAAACATCCTTCGAAGAGGCAAAAACATGAGATTTGTATGGAGTGACAGAGACTATAACCTTCCTCACATTAAAAACATGAGATAAACACGATCGTCATATTTACATCAAGTTTTCCCGCTTGGTTTCCTATGATTTCAGCTTTCCTTCTGATGATGTCATCTCCTTGTGCCCTCTTGTTTTACACCTGGCTGGAGAATTAGCTCCGCCAACAGTTTATCACTAACTCCTAATATTCACATTAACAGTAGTGGATGGAAATGTGCATGTGCACATTTGCATGGAAACCTCACTGGCGTTCATGTTGCCACTGCAGGATGACATCACCATAAAATACTGAGTGAGGAAACAAACACGAGAGTAGAAGTGAAGATGCTTTATGATTCAAGTGGAGGAGGAAGGCGTCTCATTCATATTCAGCATTCATTCATATTCTGACACATGTGGTACTACAGGCAGGAAGTAGCAGCAGCTGGAGATTCTCAACCCGTTGGGATGAGAGCATCTCTTCCCTCGTCGACGCTGAATGATGTTATTTGGCCTCGGCTCCATCTCCTTCACAGGGCAAAGCTCATTTCAACACCCATCAACGCTGAGCTGAAAAGCGGCTTTAAATATCTCACTGCAGCTGTTAATAACATGCAGTGAATTACCCTGGAAGTGTGTTTTTTCCCCCCGTACACACGCTCTGTGGTCTAATTGGTAGTTACAGCTGTAGGATTGTACAGTGTGATGACGGTAATGCCGCTGCTAATGCTCATCCCCTTCCAGTCTGAGCATCATTGAGTCATAAGGCATCAGTTCAGCCCGGAGGGGAGGATTATATTTGTTTGTGTAGACAGATACTGTAGCTCCAAACCCCCTCAAGGCTGGGCTGGGGTGGGGGGTTCACACACCGACAGCAGGAGATGTGTTTATATGAGCGTTTGTTTTCTTCAGTCAGGTGACAACAGAGCTCTCTTTAGAAATGATGAACTGCAGCTGGTTTTGAAAACTGTCATCGGAAGAAGAAAGTGACTAAAAAATACATGATTTCATGGGTTTATGAAAATGACAGTCTGTAATTATGTTTTGAAAATGAAGCATAACAAAAAAACTGAAAGGCTGATGTTCATATTCAAATTCTTCATGTGAATGAAAGGGTCAGTTCACCCAAATCAAAAAAGAAAGCCTGTCCCCACACATCCGTAACAGGCATTGAGCAATCCAGTTATTTTAAAAGACGCCATCCCAACACAAAGGACATGAATGCAATTTTGGTTTTGCTGCTAAAAGCACTAAATTATATAGAAAAATGTCACAGGACCTTGTATTTCCAGAATTTAATGCTGGTATTTTTCATAATCCTCAGACCAAATAAACATATAAATGCTTTCCACTGTATATAATCGGAAGCTTTTAATACTACACAAAGTAAAATATTAAAATTTAAGACCATATCTTTTATGGCTGCACCAAAGTCTAAATGTCTTGTGCATCATTTTATGCACATGTCCCCAAAGTTCAGACATATTTGATATCTTTTAATATTGGGATTTCCACTAAAATTAAGAATTCACTCTTATTGGTTTGGACAGTTTATTTCAACAAATATTGCTACTTTCACCCTTGCTTCTTAGAGACAGTAGTCATTTTTCTAGGGCTGCCTCCGACTAAGAATTTTCCTAGCTGACCAATAGTCGTCATTTAGGTCCATTAGTCGACTGGTCGCCCGCATGTTTCTGATTTTAATGTAATCATTAAATGATATATTTTGGTGGTTTGAGTTGAAGGTGTGAGAAAGAATAGTATCAGTAACATTGTTAACACTGTGCTACATTACAGAGAAATACAAAACCGTACTAATGACCCTTCATTAATACAGGCCTATATTTTATCTCCAAGTGCACGTCACACACTGAGCGAGCCGCCTGTTAATGACGCTGTGGGCTAATGGGCATGTAGCTACTTCCATGTTTCAGATGATACGTCATGTTTGTAGTCGACCAATGAAGATGAGTTCACTTTGGGTTCGTCCTTCACCTTCTCAAAATGATCCCACACTTTGGATTTCCTGCCCGACATGTTATTAACCAGCCTGTGGAATAACTGCAGGTACCAGCCCTGGAAATTAGGGGCCGTACACATGCCGCATGTGTTGGACTAAGCGACCACAGAAATCCTGCCGTCTAATGACCTTTGTGGTCGACTAACGTTTTGGTCGACTATTAGGGGACAGCCCTACATTTTTCAGGTGTTCCTTGAGAGGAAACATTGTCTTAAGTGTTTAAACAAACAAGTACTGTAATTTTTCTAGTTTCTACTCTGGATAATCTACAAACATATCATCTTTCAACAACTGTCTAACTAAAGCTAGAAAATACTGAAATATGTCTATGAATCATATTTTCCATCTCGTCTCAGCATGTCATTGAAGCTACTTCACACCCAAGAAGCTATGTTTTGCACTGTTCCACCAAAACCAAATGTTCTAGATGTCTCATGCATGCAGCATGTTATGCACATTTATCCAGATTTTGCCTCGTACATTTAGCATCTTTGGAACCTTTAAGACCTCCACTAGAGATTCAAATAAAGTTCTGTGAGTTTAAACTAAGCTTCATACAACATAAGTGTACAAAACATGAAACAAAGAAGGTTAATTAGCCTACAATGTCCTTGGGTGCACTTACTTATTTGTTATGAGTGTCTCTCTGTAAAATAGAGGACTTTTTAAGAGCCCACTGGACAAATGAAAACTGTAATTCAGTTTATAGTTGAAGGAAGACGGACATTTTAAATCCAGAACAGGAGATAATCGTTAGAATTTCCAAATGGTGGAGGAGGAGACATCCTCATGAAACACATACATGATTCAAAAGAGTTGAGATTCACTACCAAGCCTACATCATCATCATCATCGTCATCATCATCATCATCACATACTTCACAAACCATAAAGAACACAATTGTTCCGATGCATCCGACCCACTTCTCTCCGTTCCAATGAGAACACAATGATATATATGTTTATTTATTCAGGGAAGCTTTCAGCGGTGAAGATAAGGTCTTTAAGTTCAAGAATGAATGATATGTGGAAGGACACACTATACTCATTCTATATCTGTTAGACGCAGGAAACAAGCTGTAAATGCTGTATGTCTCGTGTTTTAACTGCAGATATGTGATGACGAATACTTCAGGTATAAATGAAGCATCGGGTGAAGAATAGGAGTGCTGCAGCTGGCTGTAAAGGCTGGATTGTTTTTATTTTTATTTGATTTTTAATATTTTTGTACATAAAAACTAATCTAAGGCCACAATATGGAACTTTTGAGTTAAGTTTATGTAGGCGGAGTCAAAAACCACAAGTTAGCTACAGTTTGCTTTGGCTCCGTTAGCTGTTTCTACAAAGTTTTTTTTCTTATTTTCTCAGTGGCTTTTTCTATCCACAAAGTAAATGAGTATTTACAACTGTATGTGCTGATAAAATAATAGCACCAAGCTAAGATAAACGAACAATTGCGCCCTAAGTTAGCCTGCTGTTGATAGCTTTCCATCCTAGCATGCAGCTTAAAATGATGAACAGAAGTTCAATTGCTCCAAATTCAGAATGAATCATTTTGGTAGTAAGTTAGTAATAGTAAAACATTGGACCCTGGTTGCCAGTCATAAAATTGTGTTTTTAACCAAGCTGAAATAGCAGCTGACGCTTACAGATTTCGTTAGCTAAAGCAAGCATGCTAATAAACGTTAGCTCCATGAGTTGGTTGGAATTCTTGTCTCCGTCTGACTTGTATCGATATGAAAAAACCTGACAAAGCATCTTAAATTTGGCTACATAAATGACATCATGCTAACTTGCGCATGTAGTGATGAAAAAAAGGCTAAAGCAGACATAAAGAAACTAGCATTGTTCACTAGTTAGGCTTAGCTAGTTAGCCAGTTAGCATTAGTGTTATAGTAATATGTTCACAATAGAAATACATAATAAGTTACTTGGACAAACAACACAAAGGTTCCATTTACTTTCTTGGTCATTCCTGTTATGCAGCGACATTTCTGCCCACATAAATGAATTCCTCATATTTTCTTTAAAATGTGCCCAATATTTACGTATAAAAAATGGCTTAAATTATAGGCCTTCAACAGATAATAATGCACATTAAATATACTTTTCTGCTGACCTCT